CTAGCGTTGCAAGTCCACAGAACATACTGCTGTGCTACTGGGGGGCTTTTATATTATTACTATCATACATTGACACTTGACATTATAAATCCCAGAACTAAATGAATAAGTTACAAATTGCCAAAAAACTATATTTTCTTTTTTAAATACAAATCTTATACATGTGATTTATTAGCCTAAACGTAAAGATTTTAAATAGTAAATATATTCGACTAAGAAACAGTACTATGTACAAATGTGTGAATACAAACTTCCAATACTTAAATTAGAGATCAGTATTCGGGGTTACCTAGGGTAAGCGTAGAGAACAAAGAACATGTGAAGAGTCCCGAGAGAATGAATCAATATAAATACAGAATCTCAATACATATGAAGAAAATATAATTTCATTATTGTATCTTTCTTGGTTTTGTATTGTTTGTTTTTAAGTGAAAGTTATGCATAATCCCAGACACCTTGGAAATAGCTAACTACGAGTGTTGAGCTGAATATGCAAAAACTCAGACGAGATAGATTCTACCAAACCTGAGGAATAACTAAAGGTATTAAATGTAATCCTAAAACTGATGATTTGAGGAAAGTAATTCCAACAGTGGTGGAAATAGTTGCATCAGCAAGAGGTCATGGCAAAGTGACCTGTACCACTGGCAGGAGGGCAGAGCAGATGTAAAATTCTCTGATGCTTGTGTAATAAGTTACATGAAATATGAGGTAATGAAGAATTATCAACAAGGAAAGGATTTTTCAGTATTTACCTCAAAATGATCACAACAAAACAAGTGCAAGTTCTAACCTATCAAGCAGAGCCAAGTCTTATTTAGAAAGACTTGGCCATTTTTTTTATTCCATTAAAAAAAATCTGTAACTATTTGGGGTACCAAATAAATTTGTCACACTATTCAGATACATGTAAGTTATTATTACTGTAAGTATAAGCCATTACATTTTCTGAAAACAGCTGGATAGGTTATGTAATTAAAACCAAAATAACTACTACCTACAAGTTGTTCATTTTCTATTTTTGATTACAATATTTACAATATAAAAACTATACTTTCAAATTTCATGTTTGGATTCATGCATGCTGATGAGCCTAAATTAACTACATTAGCTATGCACATAAATTACTCTTGATTCTAATGTTGGTGTTATAGCAACTAAAAAATCAAGATTTTATTTCAGCAATATCATACTTACTGGCATCCTGTCATGAAGCCATTTCATTTCATTACTGGCACCAACAGTAATAATTGTGAAGCTGTACAGTAAATGGCCATCCTACAGAAAGTACTACACACGTTACTTATAAAACAAAATAGGACTATGACTACAAAAATATTTTCTTATATGCATTAAGTATTTCTGACTTATCGATTACTTTTATAAAACTGACTTTTCATCACATAAAATTTCACTTTGCTTCACGAAAATTATATATTTTTTATTTCTTGTAACAAGTTGTAATAACTCACTTTCATTTTTAAACTTTTGAAACAAGAGGTATCTTTTGTATTTCAAACACACTAAATTAAAACAGTCTATATGCTTTAGTGACAGCATCCGTTAACTATTCATAGCAGACTTTATTTATTTATTTTAAATAAACAACCATCTAGAGCTTAATATCTGATAAGCTTGACTGAGTGAAGAATTCATGTATAATATGTTTAAAAAATCAATATTTGTGATTCATGTACAGATACAACATCCTATTTTATACATATTTTTATCATTTTAGAACTTTTCTTTTCAGTCTTTGATTATAAAATTTACAGAATCTAAAAATTATATTTCACAACCTAATGGAGTCTATAGTAGACTTAAAAGGATTTCCAAAAGAAACCCCTGTACCTTTGGGGACTTCCAAATGTCATAAATTCCAGCTATAGTTAGCAACCTTGGCCCTCGCCACTCTCCATCCACATCCCACATTTCTTCTTCCTCACTGGTCCACTTACGCTCACTCATGCTTACTTTTTTGGGTTGAGGAAAGTAGATAAAATATGGTTCTTTTTGGCCATTAACTTTCTTCCATTCAAAAAATCTGTAACCAAATACTAAATTCTTATGGGCACTAAATATAATTGTCATATTATTCAGATACATGTAAGTTAATATTAATGTGAGTACAAGTCACTCATTTTCTGGAAATAGCTGGAAAGTTTATGTACTCAAAATCAAAGTAAATATTAGACATGTTATTCATATTGTGATTCATTTTTAAAAATTTAAATAAAACAAATAGTAACTCCTATTAACAGTTTTTCAAATTTCTGAAGCTTTTGAATTTCAGTAGTAAATGTTCTATTGGTCCTGATGTTTGGATTCATGCAAGCTGATGAGCATAACTTGGCAACTAATTTCAACAATGGAAAAAATAATTCAATATACAACATATATAAAAAGCATGAAGGCTAAAAGAACTTTTCACAAACTTCTTTGAGTCTTCATGCTTTCTTTATGTGCATTATATTTTTAGTCCTTTATGAGAAATGGTGTTTATTTGCTATAGATAACTTTCTAAAGTTGCTTTTTCATACTTTTAGAAATTTTTCCAAAGCTTTCAGAGATGATAACAGATCAGGCTGAAAAATTCTAGATGTTAATGGCAAGCATAGTCGAGTCCACTTTCAACTAGTGTTTACTTCCATGACTTATTTAAAAAAAAAAAAGTTTCCATGGCATATTGAGTAAACTTTTGTTTTCAGCCTTCAATTTAGCCACCCCCCTCCTAATGTCACAAATGTTATCTCATTGGATTTGCATCTATTTGTATGTCTATAATGTGGGAGGCCCAGCATGGCCAGGTGGTTAGGGCACTAATCATAATTCTTCTACCTTCCATATGACTTATTATGCAAATCAGAGGACCATACACAAACTGCTTTTCCACTATAATTTAGTCATCAAATATTGAAAGAAATGTAAATAAGTTTCAGTTATTTAAACAGCCAAGACATGTTGCAGACCGGTAGAAATTAAGTCAAGAACCAGTACCAGTCATAAGACCAGCATTTGGGAAACACTGATCTAGACTACAAGAAATATGTATCCAAGCAGAGTCCGAGTAGAATCAAGAGCCAAAAAACAATTTTAGAACTGGATTAGAGAGAAAATGAGAGGAGTAGACTATTCTTACCAAAAGACTGAACTTAAGGACACTAAGAAAGAAGGCATTATTCACAGAAGGGTACCTCTTTGCTCTTTAATTCAGGCAAAGGGGTCAGTTTTACAAGGGTAATGGCATACTGAGCCTGTGGAGCTAACAATGGGATATGGGTGGTGGCATAAACAGGTAGAAGGAACAGTATGCCCTTCTCAGGCAGTAGAAAGTTCTCAGGAGAGCAGTCCAGATGCGTATTATGAAAAAGAAATACACCAAAGACAGTTACTCCTATTCATCCATATCAAAAATGACCAGTCAGTCACATAAACAGCCAAATAAGTAGATGCTCAAAGGGAACCAAGGAAAGACCCAAGTTGTCCCCAAGAATGGGCTCAAAGACAATGCAACTGAAAAACCAAAACATAAACAAGTAAAAAAGCAGAAATTATCCCCATCCTTGTTGAAGCTGAGACATCTAGTGATAATGATATTTTGATTCTAAAATCCCTAAAGGAAATGCACACATAGGTGGAAAAGGTACCCAATAAGGCATCATCAGCCACCAGATGGCATCCTTTGTCAAATTCCAAAAGGCAACATACTCTTCTTAAGCTCCAGTGTAGAAGGTGGAATTCTGTCTAAGAATGTGGTAGAATAATTGTAAAAAAAAGATAAACAGATGTCAATTCCTTTAAAAAATCCTATTCTTGCAAAATAGGAACAAACATTGCTGAACAAACATATAAAACATTCGTCAAAAATATAATCAGAATAGGATCTAAGAGGATATAAATACAGAGCCTTCCTGAAAAAAGACGAGTATGAAAAACAACAATGGCAAAAAAAAGTTTGAGCATTTCCTTCCTGAAGAAAGAAAAGAAACAAAACAAACTACATTTTCAGGGGAATATGGTAGTGTGAACAAGTTGTGAAAGGTTCAAAAGAAGAAGCCAGGCAACTTATGACCAGATTTAAATCCAACTAAGGTCAACGTTTAGGGAGACAATCAAAAAGACTCTTTTGATTCTTCAATTAAATTTTCTATTCATCATCCATATCCAACTCTCAGTTTCTATTCGATTTTGGATCTGGCAGTTTAAATTCTTTTCTGCAAAAAGGAGATACTGATGTTGTACTTTATGTTTGTTCAGGGTTTCTACTCTCACCACTTTGTGGTGCCAAGGACAACAGAATACTGGATACTTGTCTTCAATCTTTCCTGTTTCATTTGTTATCTAGATATTCCTCCTTTCTAGGTGGAACCAATGAGAACCTTATGAAATTTCCTTTGTCAAGGTTTGGATGATGAATGGGGATTTCAAAGATCTACTATCCCGATTCACCCATCTTTGTTTTTCATATAGTGAAGTAATTTCTTAGTTTATGCCAGTAGCTGATCTTCCAAACACACTTAGTATCGACTGTCATTATTACATGAATAATTAGAGGACTCTTGCTCAGTGATTGCCTCCCACTAAATTCACCTTGCAGTTAGTTTCTTCTCTGAAATCGATTGTTCATAAAGCCAAGTCTCAGCTTATGTCCACTTAATATCTCATTCATCTGAAATTTGTATTAAACCTCTCTTAGGAACTCTTCACCTGTTTCCTTTGGCATTGTAATCCCTTGAGTTTCAGGTGCACATATTTCTCCATTAACTAAATATGTCCTGTCTGATTTTGGAATGATGGCTTTCCTTTATGTTGCAATTCCCATAAACCATATTTATTTCAAATATCATCATTGTGATCTGTCACTTCATGGAGTATATCTCAAGCCTATTGTCTATCAGAATTTCTCCTATTATTCTTGATTACCTTCAAGTGTGGCATATTTGTATGGATCTTTTCACCAATGCCTCTTTCCAGGGCTAAGGTAATGTGTTGGGAGACCATTACCTTTAAGGTTTGTAGTCTTATCAAATATCCTATTCTCACATTATTTCTGTCAGAGGTTTTGGCTGTTTCAAATGAATATCAGGAGTTACTGCCTTTGTTACATCATCTCTGTATTTTTGCAGTTGGAGACACTTCAACTATGGTTACATATACCTACAGGTAAGGTGGGGCTCAATCTCACAACTTGTGTTTGTTGCAATTTCCCTTTTTTTGGGCTGCATGCACATCATGTCTTTATCTGAATTGCCATTTCACTGGTTGTGCCAACAATTCAGTTGTCTTCTGCTTGATGCATTCATAACAGCAGTACATCATTTTCTACTGGTTTACTAGTTTCTAGTTCTGGGTACAGCTTCTAGCAGTAGATGATCTGATCCTGTCTTGGGATAATTGTTTTCTCTATGCCTACCCTCTTCTTCATCCTTTTTTTTAATGTTGAGCAAGATTAGTTGGTCACATTTTCCATGCTGGCCTGCTCCACCATGATTTCCCCTTCTCAACTATCTCAGAGGAATCCTATTCCATTGATTATTTGGTACATCTTCCACAACCACATTTGTCATCTACAGATTCACAGCTGGCTGTTATGCAGTCTTGTAGGTGAAGCTGACTTCACTTCTTAGGTAGCATGAATTTCATCACATTCTTGTAGACATACCAATCTCGTTGATCTGTTTGTTGAGTTGGTGCCTGCAGAATTTGATTTCTTCTCTTCTCCAACCCCATAATGGCTTGCCTAACATTTTTTTTCATGTACCTCTTTCATTAACAGGTTTTTTTTCTGCTGTTATTGCAGGCTACAGAACTGCAACCACATTTCTAATTTGGACTTAAACGATAATATAAATATTAAGCAGTGTATGTAAAATTACTTATTAATTTTTTTTTTTACCTACAAGTATATTTTCCTTAACTTAAAATTTTTTATTTTGTAGGTCTGTAATGAACATATATTGAAATTATTAACAAAATAAAATATTAAGTAAAAAATTGCCTTGTGTAATCTTATCTCATTAGTGAAAAACTTGAGTAATGTTCAATGTGACAGAATAATCATAAAAAGATAAAGATAAAAATTCTGATTTGAAATTTGAATTTGTTTAATTAATACATTTTACTAAGCCTAGCATGCATGGGTATCTGATTGAGCACTTATAAAGTTGACAATTCTGTAGATCACATTCTTATTAACATGATTTTTTTTACACAAATCATAACAAAAACTGCAAATTGTCCTTGGATGTATAATTTAAAGTTTAAAACATAATGCTTACTTACAACAAAGATTAATCACCAATAAGAAAACAAATACTGTCTACATTATTATTCTCAAATTGTACAGTTCAGCATGGATATAAGTATACCTCAATTAAATCCAATTAAATGACTCTTACTGCATTAATTTATTATGGGTGACCCAAAAACATGAATCATTTGCTTTGTATAAGGCTTCTACACCTGCAAGTTTGCTTATAAACTACAACAGGATCAGTGAAAGGAACTGTCACACCAGTCATTCTTCTACTATACATATTCTTGTATTTTACCATTAAATATAAAATACTTAATACACACAGACACACAAGGATATATCTATGTATAAATGTCTGTAAATGAAATGTGTTTTATAAACACACACACACACACACATGTACATATAAACAAAAATAATAAACTATAAATATTAAACACAAAAGGTGATCAAAAGTTATGTTCAGAAATAAAAAGTAGTTAAATTCTTTCATGATAAAGCATACCCATCTGAAAGAACAACACATCGCCGGCCTTTAGAAAATGCAACTCTGTATGATGATTTCTCCCTGATGCCATCAGCACGACAGTTAAATGTTTTGTAGGTTGTGTCCATAGGGTTACCCTTATGCCAGAATGGAACAAGACCCCACAGCATTGGGCATACAGATCTCTCACTATTTTCAGTTTTATTATCCAAAGTACTTATAGTTGCTAAAACAGGCCTGAGGAGAAGAAAAAAAAAGTGTACTAACAAGAGATAACGCAGATATCAAAATAAATAAATGATATATTTAAACAAACTGAAAAAAATATATTCTCAAATTAATGGTATTTCTAAGACAATCCAATTTTGATTGATATACTTGTTGGTATGTTTTTTGAGAGAGGTTTGTTTGTCCTCTAATTCCTCCTAGGCTTTTGCATTTGAAATCTGTCAAATATGGTTTAATCAACTAGGAATGATTTGGGAGGTATCAAGAAGTAACATTCTTTTAAAATGGATACATTTCATAGCTCCAGTGATGACTAAATATAAATCAGTCAGTGTAGGCGGCCACTACGGGTATTGATTGGATTTCTCCAGTTTCCTCTTTCATTACATGAGATATATATATATATATATATATATATATACACAGTCTGTATGCTTTCAATCATTACTGGCATAATTAGGACAAAATTAGAAACAATCTTTACATTAATAACTGGAAAACATTAATTCTATAACTGCATTGCATTTTCAAGTCTCATCAATCATTTGAAAGATTTTTTCAGACATTGTTTGAAGATACTTTCAAAATACACCCACTTGTATTAAGTGAGATATTTTTAAGTCATGTTACTGATTTTCAATAAAAAAATAAAAAAATAGAAAATAAAGTATTATTTAAAAAATCAAGTACAGTGGACATGAATCATTTCATTCTCATGTACTTTCAATCTTTATACTGGCGCTGGCATGTTTCAGAAAAACAAAAAACAATTTTTTATATTAATAACTCAATCATTTGAGAGATTCAGTAGTTATTGATATAAACACCTCATAACAATACTTATCAACAGCATATGCTTTATTATAAGACATCTAAATATACACTTTTTTTATATTTTACACATAAATCATGGTGTGGTCCTTCCAAAAAACGTATGCAAGAGAAGCTTAACAAGAACAGAAATGACAACTGAAAGAAAAACATTGTGAGGACTAATGAAAATGATTTTCTCCAATGTGAGGATTTTTCATGTGCTGCCATTCATAAATTCACGCTGGTAATGAAAACTCAAAACTTAATTATTTAAGCACAATATTATGCTTCCATGAAATAGAAGTTACTCAGTTTACTTTTTTTTTACTTAAATATTTTCTTCCACATTATATACTGAGTGTAAGTCTGTTACTACACAATTTGCTATGATCATGTAATAAAGAATACATAACTATTTTTCCTTTCATTAATGAAGTACTATTAACTATCACACATAAATCAAATGCATCTTTAAATGAAATTATTGTAAATGGAGATATCATCTCTATGTACTAAAGCAATAGAGTACTGACATACCAACCTATGCAGGTTTCTGCATACATAACCACAAAACCCAGTAAAGATGTAGCCATAGATAAAATGAAATAATGACCTTTCTCTATAAAATCAGTAAACAGTATCAATGTGATTATGCCAAAAATGACTAAAGAACCAAGTCAAACACAAGATGTGATATGATTAAGACCCAAGATTGATATTAAAAACAACTAATTCCCATAGAGCATGTCGTAGAAATTAGAAATAAGCAGAGTATTTACAATCATAAACAAATGAGAGGACTAATCATTTATTACACAAATGTGTCATTCTTCTACAAGTTTTAAAAGAAGTTATTCTCAAAAAAGAAATGATATAACATTATCCATCCAGTGTGAAACCTTAAACTTCTTCCCACAATAAATCTTGTAGTACATTTTATATTACAGTAATAGTTAATGCCTTTCAAACTCTGAACAACATTTGGAAGACAGAGAATTAAGACTGTTTAGGCATTACTAAAACAAACAGAACACTCAGTACATAGTTAACTCATACTCCCATTAACAGTTGTGTAGAAAAAAAAAGAAATAATTCTAGTTGTTTTATAAATTGCTTTATGCAACTTTCTACTTTTATCTTTTGCTCTTACCCACATCCAAAGCTTTAGTAAATGTACTGACAACATTTAAAACATTCCTAACAATCTAGGGCCTTTCTCTATCTGAATGTTTACAATAATCTTCTTCTAATTCATCTTGGTAAACATTAATCATGTGTAATGTGTAATGCTCACTATACATTTCAGTTCATGTGAAATACTATAAAAGTTAGATTTGAAGAATCTGAGGATAATAATCACACCACATTTGTGAAAAAAAAACTACATTAATGCAGCTTCTCTTCACTCTTTATAGGTTTAATGTAAAATATTTATATGCTACACCTTCAGTCACAAAGTAAAGCTGATACCACTAAGAAATTCAATATCAAAAATTATCACTATTGCCAATGCTAGCAATTGAAATTACACAATATGCGTGTGTATTTATTTATATAAACAGGGCGTGAAATTCACCCAGCTGGGTGATTAACTCAATTAACTGATTCCCTATGAGCATCAATTACATCAATCAGTGTCCCATAAAATAATCAATTATTCAAAATTATATTTAAACAATTAGTGTCATGAAAACATTCAACTAATTAAAATTAGTGTTTCTGATTATTACCATTTTAAATTTTTCCAATTATCCAAGTAATCAAAATATCACCATTATGATTTCTCATTATTATATTTGATTAATTCAAAGCTATTTAGCTTAATCAAACAGTGTCACAACTCACAAAAATAATCAAGTAATTGAAATTAGTGCTTCAGATTATTATTATTATTTTTAATTATTCAAACTAAGTAATCAATAATCAATCAGTTGAATGTAAT